TCTATATATATATATATATATATAATATATCGCAGTTAAATATATAAAAAAATATGTTGGAGGAATGTCTGTGAAAAAAGTTTCGAATCAATCTGTTTCTAATAGAATAATAAGATTTAATAGGAGAAAGGAATCTAAAAGTTTAGCGAGAAAAAGTTAATTTGTTCGCTAAATTATTATTTAGTTAGTATGTTAGAACAATTAATGAACCTGATTGCATTTTTTTTCCTTCTCTCTCGAAGCTATCTAAAGAACGCTCTAAAAAGAATTAAAGCTTTATATATTTAATAAAACGATCGTGCGAAAGAGAGAGAGAGAGAAAGAGAGAGAGAGAGAGAGAAAGAGAGCAAACTAATCGCGTATTAGCGCAAGGTATGATTCTGAGGACACGGTAATCGATCCATGAAGATAACTATAGTTACCTTCTTAACGTAATAATTAATCCGTACCAAAGTATTTTTGTTCAAAATGATTTAGTGCAACAGTATGGATCTCTGACGTTAAGATCTTTATCTATATAAAAAAAATATATTATAAATATTGTATATTATTAAATTAATAAATTTTTATCGATTCATAACAAATGCAAATATAAATGATAGAAATCACGTTAGAAAAGGCAGTGACTTATAAGAAGGTAATTATAGTTAAGCTTCTTATAAGAAGCGTAATACATATTACTTACGACTATTGTAGATGTGACGTGTATAATGACTATTTATTATAAAATAAAAGGTTAAACAACATTTTCTATGTGTTACAATGTTTTCTCGGTGTCTCGACTTTTCTGTAGAAAATCATCAACTGTACAATTTTTTTCCTTCCGGCATAATCTAGTTCAACTACAGTTCGCTACAACTTTATCGGCATCGATATCATCGCTGTTATCAGGTCGAAGAACCTGTTTGCGTTGTATAGGATGTCCCAGATTCTTCGTTCAATAGTAAATTACCCGTCGACTTGATCACAGTACCCTACTTCAGTGAAAACCTGACAGTCATCAGTTTTTCGCGATTTAATATCTAACTCCAATAGCTTATCTGGAACATCCTCGAACATCTTCATATACGATAGTATTACATACTGCCAAACACTTCTCTCTTTATTTCCTCATAAACGCAAACAGTTAAAGTTGGAGATAAACGGTAACTCTGTTTTCGTTCAGTCTATAGAACATACGCCGTAAATCTTAACTTCTTTGGCTCCGTTTATATTTTTTTGGACATACAATATACAATATCTCCCATTAGAAAATCTAACATCTTAAATTACGCGTCATAATTTGCTCAATAAACAATGCTTCTCGTAAAGTTAATTAATTACTTGACCGGATATCTTACGAACCCGAAATTTGGTCGTAAGTATTGCCATCTAGTTACGTGATCTCAGTATCGTTCAGAAATAAGCGATAGGCAATTTGTAAATGCTTAGGAACTTCCGATTAATTAGACCGAATCACGAGTCTAGCTCATTTATCTGCCAATCTCGACTATTTCCTGGATAAAGGACTACGGAATACTCACGTTCCAATATATTTTCGCTAATTAAACGCGTAAAATACTTCGAAAAAAATAAGAAACAATATACCCCATATTGCACAATAAGAATAATTTTTCTTTGAAGACCGAATATGTCACTATTTCGATAAAAAAATTCAAACTATATCTAATAATTGATAATTTGTTCAAAAGTACTAAAACTCCAATCGAATAGATAATAAATTCACTATGTATATGGAAAGAATAAAAATGATAGAATTCTAAATTCATACGAAAATTATCGCATGATGAAAGAGAATACATTAGCGGAATTCAATAACTCAAAATATTGACTCAAAATATTCAATAACTGTAAAATATTCGATCTTCGTTTCTACGTGTCTCATGATTGCTTATATGTAATTGATTATTTTCGATATTAAAATCAAGCAACGACATCACAATGTTCACATCACGTAAGAGAATAATTTAATTACTAGGCATATCTACATTCAAAGGCTTTATAACGTACGATATATCTTCAAGACAACTTTTGTCTTTTAGAGATATGTCGAAATATATGTACGGTGTTCCAGGGCTATGTTTCATTAGACCCTGTGACTAGAAATATAAGTCCAAAATTAATTTACATAAGTTTCTGCTGAAAGAATCAATTAAAATTAACCTTAAGCACAATAAAATTCAATAAATGTATCTTAAAAATCAAGTTGTCATTTTCATATATATAATTGCTATTTTAATTGAAGAAATCGAATAAAGAGATAATACTAGTTTTTCATTTTTTCGCAATTCAGTAATCAACAGAGTTCAAATGTTAAAACCTTTAGAAGACGGAAATTTATTTTTAAAATTTATAATTTTTCCTCAAATAAGATTTGTTATAATTTTATTGTATGCATTCCTTGTCTCGAAATGTAACACTATTAGCGCCATTATAGCGAATATATATATAGACTTTTTCGTCCTGTAAAGGTTAAATCAGTTGCAATGCCAATTACAATAATGTACTAATTTCCGAATTTTATATCGCATCAAATTTAGTTGATAAAATCTCTTTAAAATTTCCAAGAAATCATTTTTCCAAAAAATGCATAAATAATCAGAAATGATATTAATTTTCATTTGTAACTCTAAATAAAATAAAAATACATCTTTTTTTAAACAATGGATTCAAAATTGATAAAAACAAACTATGACCATAGAACGAATGATAGTCCTGACACACCTTGCACATATAATGTTTCACCTGATTCCATAATCATCGTCGTTGTATATTATTTTTTATATAACGTATTGCAACAAAGTAAAACTAACGTGGATTACCACATCGCTAACTGCTATTTCTAGCATATATATATGATTGATTATTTATTTTAACTATGTAAGGCATTTCGAAATGATAAATTGAGTGTCGGTGTGATATCGTATTTACACATTGACTTTATAAAATCTAATCATCACACATACACACTGCGAATGTTCGCAGAAAGGAAACAAAATAAACAATTATTCAATCTTGTCATTGTTCTTTGACTTGATGGAGGCTTCATAAGCGGCAAGCTCTTTTTTCTCCTTCCTTAAATTTCTATCCTCGAATTCCAACCTGCAATTAGACGCTAGATCAACACGTGATAGGAATGCTCGTAGTTGTTGGGATATGTGGATGTGTTATCATTAAAATAGGGGCTACTATTTACTACGTCTCGCGGTAAATGAGAAAATGGAGTAAAATGGAACTCAAGAAAATACTTTGCATGATGAATAAAATTACATATCCCATCAGAAGCAGTAAATGAATGAATGACAACAAATTATAATGAGAAGTACGTAAATATGCGTTTATTGCAAATTGGATAGAAAATACAGAACCAGATTTGTCCCATTAACGATTACTTAATAATTGAATAAAGAATACAAAACAACCAGATTTTATCAACGTTTGTTGAAATTCTTAATAATCGTATAAAGCTCGTTCGGCCTAGGGGGATAAAAAGCAGAATATGAAAAATTAATATGTAATTGTTTTTTAACCTTTTGACCTAATTATATAAGATATTTTATTTTTGCAATATCAATTTTATTACGGGTATAGATAGGAACGAAATATAGAGGAATATATCAAACACATTTTCAGCTTTTGGAGTTTAAATAAAAATATATAGCAACTCGAGGACGGAAGTCAATATATATATATATGTTATCAAATAACATATTGTCCTGTTAAATAATAACGTAATCAGTTACTGTATTATTCTTTCACAACTAATTATTATACACTTAATTATAAATGTGAATAACAAAAACGCCAAATAAATAATTTTTGTATACATATTTTGTTTTAAATCTAAACAAATTGAAGAAATTGTTGAAACAATATGTAAAAATATATATTGATGTAATTTCATCAAGAATTTCTGAACTAAAAAATGTATATTTATATATAATTATATATAAATGTATAAATTATCATTAGAAATCTTCTCTAAATTGAAGTATCAAAAAATTGTTCTTGAAAAGTATGATATAAAGAAAGTATACATGCATAACATAATTGTAAAGATAGAACATACCTGTGAAGAATGATCCTTTCAACAATTTTTTCCGTTGTCATATCGTTACCGCTATCTAACAATTTAAATTTATTTTGCTTTTTAGGTTCCGCGTATGGATCCGATCCATCCTCGCAAGGCATTATGCGCGTTTGTCCGTGACACACGATAGAAACATTGAAATGTTCCATCAAGTCTCTTGTCACTGCATACGGCGCACCAATAACAACTTCATTAACATACTGTAAATTCAAAAAAGAGATTACAATGTATAAAAACTGAGATATAACTTCTTTTTTAATGGCATGACTTATCAGAATTTTTCCACTGAAAATATGCGTCGTAATTTTCTCGAAACTGCGCAGATTGCGTCTTATATTCATGCAATGAATAATCTTATATGTTAATATTAATCTTATTGCACGTATTTTTTTTCATGCTATGTTATGCAGGTACTTATAAGAAATCTCGGAAGCGCAAAAAAAAGACTCACCTTGCACGCTAACACACTGAGAACTCGTTCGTGAAGATTCATAATAGGATGATTGCCGCATTTGTATCGATTAACGGCGGGATCGGTATGCAGACCGACAATGAGGTAGTCTCCTTCTTTCTTAGCGACTTCCAAGAAATCCAAGTGCCCCACATGGAAGAGGTCAAACGCGCCTGCCACGTACACAATCTTATCGCCCGGCTGCGGACTTTTACCATCACTAAATTGTATAATTTTCTGTGTGGTCGGCAAGAATTGCGAACAACCAGTCCACGGACTCCGAGCGTTTCGATCCTGACCCATGCTCTTGCTCGGTTCTCTATCGACGCTGTATTCGTTGTCACCCTGTCGAAAATGCTGTCGTGTCATCAGCAGCATACGTCCTACAAGATCGGTCGTTGAGACACCGGCTGTACGTTGGACTTCTCTGAAATAATCAAGTTCCTTCTTAATAAAAGACTATATAATTTTTAATAAATATTTGAATAAATTAATTTGTAATATCTTTAATCATTTCCATCTTAATATCTTTTTAAAGAAACTACCTGTAGCGGCCGGCTGCCTTGACTAAATGGTACGTGTCCACGCCATCAGCCGTCATTGTGATATCATCGCCGTGAACACAAAAATCACAGTTATATTTATCTAATGTTTCTAATGTAGTGACGTAGGGCGCAGCTTCGACTACTTCGTCTACCCATTTAATACCGCGCACCATTTTATACCTAAGAAAAAGAAAATTTGATCAGTACGTTAATACTTCAAAAAATTTGATCAGTACTTCAGAATTGTAATATTTGTATTTATTTCATAATTATAATATTTATGTTTATATGTAATCATTATTGTTATTTTATCGACTTTATTATACATTTAAATATTGTTTACAAGAATTTTCGCAAAAAAACAATTTTTAATTTCCTTCTAAAAGTTTCATTGTTATCGTATCAGCACATTCTCATATGATTACAATCTGAAAATTGTTATCAGCATCTTGTACAATTACAATCTGTAATTCATATTGGAGATATAATCTTGTACAATTACACTCTATGATTAACACTGGAGAAAGTAACCCTATATAAATGCGACTGACAAGATAAGATTCTTGCTTTATAGTAATAAAATAAAATTTATAGTAATAAATTATTTTCTGTAACAGTTCAGTTCAATTTTTTGGTGTGTAGATATATATATGGACCTAAAATGTCAAGGCTCTAGCAAGACCTTCCTGCTAAGTCGGTGGAGTTTTCATAGCTTTGGAATATATAAATATTTTATCATTAAGTGATAATATGGAATATGAAACTCTCTCTCTCTCTCTCTCTCTCTCTCTCTCTCTCTCTCTCTCTCTCACTCACTCACTCACACACACACACGCGGATAAACATTTTTTCTAACGTAATGATTACAGTATATGTGCTAGAATCGAAATATTAACGTTCATTATATAATCACGT